AGACCATCTCAAAAAACGCAGTCGAAGTCCAGACAGCGACGCCTACTTACCTGAAACAACATCGAAATGAACTTGTTTCAGCTGCCGTCCGCCCACTCAATGCACTATCATTACCATCTTTCTAGCGATTGTATCATGATTAAGCTAATTCACATATCGCTTCCCACTTATAAATCCTGAAAATACTAGACATCTTAAAGTTATATGTCCTCTCCAAAACCAATTGCTCTCATCTTTACTATGCACAGAATCCCCTTCTTATCCAGCTAATTATTAAATAATTCAAATATTCTCCTCCCATAGCTGAATATATGCATTTCATAGCTATAGCTTTTTTATTCTGATTCTCTACTGTGCGCCCTGAATGACTGAAGCCGGTGGTTCGACAAGTCAGCTCACTGTGGCTATCTATTCGATTCCACACCCAAGTATGGGCCATAGGGGCTAAATCCAGAACATGCATGTTATCAACCCATGATGCTTTCTGCGGCAACTAAAAATTCGGATCCGGTTGGCTAAAAAGCACTTTGTCATTTGTAAGTGAAGCATCCTCTAGCCAACTCACCAACTACTTACGAACAAGAGATACCGATGCACTCCTGTCTTGATACTAAATATGGTACGGTACTATCAGCCATGTTAGCCAAGATTCGACCATGGGCTCGGCTACTTTGGTCCGTCTACACAGAGGAAGGTGGCCAAGAAACAGGCCATGCACCGTGTAAGGTCGTGCGAGGGAGTAATGTTATTTTTTACTCTTGGATACTTCTTTGTTTCAATATTTTTAATAACCATGAGAAAAATAGGAGAAAGGCGAAATAAAGCCAATAGTTGGGAACGCAAGCAAGGAAAGTCTCATGCTTTTCAGAAACTAAATTAAGGATAGATAGAGCCAATTTTAATTATTTATAGGTGACAATAGCGAGAATAACGGCCCGTTTAATGAATAATTTAGCGAACATAATTTAGCTATATGCATATGATTAGATTCCTTCTTTGGGGGACAACAAGACAGTGTGGCTAGATCTGTGCTGCTATTAAGTAGAATCTCGTTTTTACGAATTTTAAAGACAATAAATAAGACTGCAATAAGAACAACTATTCGAACGTCATTAGAAAGGCCCCTGTATTATTGCCTAATGCAAAAAAATATGTATCCACTGTTAGTGTTGAAAATGAAATGCTTACATTCATGTAGCTATACTAATAATATTTAAATATCGACAGTCCTGTCTACTGAATTGCTTTCACTTGCTGCACGTGAAATATCTGAATTTAAGACCGCTTTTCTACTATAGCATATGTCAATTAAGTGTTGTCTAATCTAGGAATAAGAGTGTATAAATGCACATAATAATTATTAATGAAGCAATAATATTATAATTTCCTTTGTCGTCTTCAATATTCCCCTAAAAAAGTAATTAAAAAATTTAATTAACTGTGGTATACGTTAGTACTTTCAAACTTATATAAGCGAGAAGTTTCGGATTTGAGTTTTCTCGATCATTTAAATATTTTAACCAATTTCTGTTGAATCAATAGAAGGTTATTCCTATTGTGTAGCTAGCAGTGTTATTTTGATCTAGTGGATCTTCAATGAATTAAAAAAAACAATTAAAGAAATATTAACTGAGCCCATAAGGAAATTGAAACAACATATAACTAAAGGAAGTGAGTAAAAGATAAAATATTGATTATTTGAGTTAGGGTTTTTTCTTTTCGGAGAAAATTGAGTTAGTTGATGCTAAAGATTGCAAAAGTTTTGTTCAAAATCTAATACTGTAGTAATTTAATAAACAAGTAATTGTCACGGGTTTGGAATATAGGCGAGCAAGCAGAGGTCTACATCAACAGTGCAAACTTGATCATACAAATTTAAGGATTTCAAAAGCTTTGAAAGATTAACCCTTAATAAGAGTTTTGTTTAATCTTCAAATACCAATCTAAGCATCATATAAATATGTGTACAGATCAAAATAAAACAAAAATAAGAATTATCATTCAAATCCAAATACATTGTCCAAATATGAAATTAAGCATAACAGTGTCTGAACTAAATTTAGTCATCTAGTTGAGGTTAGCAAGCAAGACGGTGGAGTAAGAACAACATCCACAAGGGGTAGATTTGTAGGTTGTAAAAAGATGTCCAGATGGTCTCACTCCATATCAATTGGATGCGCTCGATGAAGTTTCAATTTCAAAACGACATTGTAGCAGAGTAGAAGCGTTTTATAGGTTCAGCGACTTGAAAAGAGCAAAAGAAATTCCAGGGCAAATTCTTCCTCACCACTACCGATGGTATCAATTCAAAGAAATTGCCTTTGAAAATCAACATCCTTAATTGCGGCAGTAAGACCTCCTCACGGTTGAAATTCTTCAGAAATTTGCCACTACGAATCGGATCCTTTTTGAAATTTTCGCCAGCATTATAAATAAAGGCGTGGTCTTGGTGGTAATATGATTCCCATCTTATAATACAGTTCTTCCATGGATTCATGAGGGAATTAATAAAGGGCACAGCAAGGATATAATCTGAAGGTTTTTCGCTTGAGTTGACATAGCTTGAAGAGTAAACGAAACTTTTTATGTCTGACTCCTCCACTTGTCTGTTTTTCTGCAACAATTTAATGTCTAAATCTCATTTTGTGCTTTCTTTAGGAACATCAAATGATTCCCTTTCAGTAAGCAAAGACAGGGGCCCATTTATCGATCGTAATGATTGCCTGTGGTGTCCGAGGCCTGCTAAATATAAAGACCTGTGGCAAATTGTCATTCAGGAGAAAATAACATAAATATATTTTTTCTTCAACAAATTTGTTAATTCCAGTATGATTTTCCTAATGGATATGATAAAGATATATCAATGCTATGACTATATTTATATTAGCTGTGATTTAGAAAAATTAAAATAAAGACTTACCTACACATTGAGACCACATCCAGTAAGCAAATTTCATGAAATTTTTTAAAATCGCTATTGCATCCACTAAGCAAATTCATGAAGAGTTTTTTAAAAATCGCTATTAGTATTATTATTTTTTTTGGGTTAAAAATTGTTGTGGGTCCCTCCGACATGTGGGACCTACACGCTTTGAATGAAAAAAAATACTGTACACTCATTGCAACACGCTTTCTTTGAAAACGAAGACGGTGGACGCGTTAATAACGCGTCCTTCATTCTCTATAAATAGAGGCAATTGCAATTCTCAAAATACACACACCAGAAAGAAAGAGAAAATATAGCAAGCGAGATGTTATAGTTTTAGGATGGGTTTCCTAAAACGGAGAGAGAAAAATAGTGAGGATTATTTTGGGGTATTTTGGGAAACACTTGGTGTGCCACTATTTTTTTATTACTCTTTTTATGTATCTACTATTGTTTTAATAGTGGAAGAATTATTCGGAGTTTCTCCCGTAGACGTAGCCCTAAACAATTGAGGGTGAACCACGTAAATTGTTGTGTGTCTCATATTTCTATTTTTCCGCTGTGTTATTATTCTCGTAATTTTATTGCTTATTTATTCCTCGTAAATTTCATTGCGGTATCTCCACAAGTGGTATCAGAGCCGAAGGTTTTTTCGGGTTAGGTCCAAGCTAGGTCCAGATAGCGGTAACCCGCCGGATCTCATGGAATATATTTTTGAAATAAATATACCACGACGAGAAAATTACGCCGAGTCCATTGGTGCAGTCCGTTCGGAAAGAAGTTGCAGAATCGACTTAGTGATGAATAGTAAAATAGTAACTCAAAGTGATGGTGAATAGTACTATTGGCGTTATTGTTTCAAGAAAGCTGTTGCTGAGTCCGTTTCAAGAAAGCCCAGCACTATTCACGCATAGTACTATTCACGTATACAGTTACTATTTACTCATATAGGTACTGTTTACGTATACTGTTACTATTCAGTCACGTATTGCTTCAGCAGTTGGAAGCTTGATGTATGCCGTGGTTTGTACACGGCCAGATATTGCTCACTCAGTCGGAGTAGTGAGTCGGTTTCTTTTAAATTCTAAAAAGGAACACTGGACTGCAATGAAATGGATTTTCAGGATAACCAATCACATTTGCAGGGGGAGCCGTCTCGTGGCAATCAAGATTACTGAAGCGTGCAAAGAGTTGCTGTGTAACAATAGGACCAAGACCAGAAAAAGATCTACAGGTGGTGCCTTGTGTCGAAAGTCTTCCCGACAAAAGGAGGTCGGGCGGCGTGTCCCGCGGTGTCCCGCAAAAGTTGTTTTAGCGGGCGGTATGGCGGTATAAGATGGTGGGCAGATCTAATAGATTATAGCTGCAGGGATGATGATGGCTAACGTCCCCACTTGAGTGTGCAGGGAGAGATTTGTCGTAGCAGTTGAGATTACAGAAGTGTGTTGCTCTGTCAACAACTGAGGCAGAAGGAGAAGTTCGAGCTGTGTGTCAAAACAGCAGGAATGAAGAGTCCCACCATGTTGTCGGGATGGGGAGAATTGTTGTGGGTCCCTCCGACATGTGGGACCTACACGCTTTGAATGAAAGAAAAAAAAAAAGGAGAAAACGTGTTATAAAAAAAAAAGGAGAAAACGTGTTATACTGTACACGCGTTGTTACACGCTTTCTTTGAAAAAGAAAACGGTGGACGCGTTAATAACGCGTCCTTCATTCTCTATAAATAGAGGCAATTGCAACTCTCAAAATACACACACCAGAAAGCAAGAGAAAATGTAGCAAGCGAGGTGTTATAGTTTTAGGATGGGTTTCCTAAAACTGAGAGAGAAAAAAATAGTGAGGATTATTTTGGGGTGTTTTGGGAAACACTTGTGTGTCACTATTTTTTATTACTCTCTTTATGTACCTACTATTGTTTTAATAGTGGAAGAATTATTCGGAGTTTCTCCCGTGGACGTAGCTTTAAACAATTGAGGGTGAATAAACAATTGAGGGTGAACCACGTAAATTGTTGTGTGTCTCATATTTCTATTTTTCCGCTGTGTTATTATTCTCGTAATTTTATTGCCGGTATCTCAACAAAAATATAATTGTTACAATCAAAATTTATTTTTAATTGATCCGGCAATAAATAAGTCCTTTAAAAAAAATAAGAAGGATAGAAATACGTACCATACACGTGGCTTTGTTGATAGTATCAGCATCTCCAGTGGAAAGCTCTTTTGCATCGCCGAGAATGGACAGCAACACATACATGAAGTCTTCTTCTTCCTTTGGTACGCCGCCGGAAGCTTCTTTCTTTTGCTTGTGTTCTTGCAACCATTCTTCAACAACAGGGTCTAATTTTTTTACCATTCTTCAACAACAGGGTCTAATTTTTTTAAATTTTCCTTCATTTCCTTTTCAACTCCACCCAAATCTAACCACCTTAAATATGGAAGCGCATCTGATACCGAAAACTTTCCAGACAATTCCATAAATTCCCTTAATGCATCTCTCCATGTCCCGCTTTCTCGACCTTCGACGGATTCATTAGTATGCTCCTCCTCCACATATCGTTTCCCTACTATTATCTTTAATATCACATTTAAAGTTATGTCCCAAAACCATCTCTTCATCTCCGCAGAAAGCTTATTGGAACTACTTCTATTCTTTATCCATTTTTGATATAAAGCTGTTATGTCCATTTTTACCTCAGCCTCTCTCACATGCTTTAGCATCTCAAGCCGATGATTGGAGAGAAGCTCAAGAGTCACTATTTTGCGCATTTGGCGCCAGTACTCCCCATATGGACTGAAACCAAGCATGGAATAGTCGTAGCCCAGGATTTCCATGGCTAGACCTTTAGGACGACTGGCAAACGCTCTGTCATTTGTAGTAAGGCACTCTTTAGCCATCTCTCGACTGCTTACAACTAAGGTTCGATAAACACCAAGCTTGCTCGACTGCTTACAACTAAGGTTCGATAAACACCAAGCTTGATAGTGAATATTGGGCCGTACTTATCAGCCAAGTTTCCTAGGGTTATGTGAGCTGGCTGTGAGCCTGCAAGAAGATGAAGGTGGCCAATAATAGGCCACGCACCCGCAGCTTCTGGCGGTAGTCTCTTCTTACATGACTTTCTTGATCTCCAAAACAAAGAGTAGATTATAGGAGTTGTTGTGGCGTGCCCACTCAGTGGGACCCACACTTTGTTGAAAATAAAATATGGTAGGTGATCAACCACGTTTGAAATTAAAAAAAAAAAAAAAAAAAAAAAAAAAAAAAAAAAAAAAACAAAAGAGAAGTCTTGGTCCAGAGTGATCCGCAGGGTAGGTGGACGCGTTAATCACGCATCCACCCTCTCCTCTAATCAAGCTTCCACATCTCCTATAAATAGGAGATTGCGTGCTAGAGCTTCAATGCCACCCAAAACGTAGTTGTAGAGGGCGGACACAGCGTAAGATTGAGAGAGTTTTAAGTTTTTAGAAAGGGTTCTAAAACTGTGGGTTCGGAGAAAATTAGTTGAGGATAATTTTGGGGAAACACGTGTGAGTGCCACTATTGTTGTATTACTCCTTTGTAAAGCCTACCTTATTTTTAATAGTGGGAAAGAATATTCTGTGTTTTTTTGTCCCTTCAGACAGTGAACGTTTAGATTAGCCCTATATAGTTTAAGGGTGAGACCACCCTAAAAATATCTGTGTGTTCATATTTATTTTTCCGCTGTGTGTTTATTATTCTCGTAATTTTATTGCCGGGGCCCTAACAAGTGGTATCAGAGCCGAAGTTTACCGGATCCGTGGATATATTTTAAAAATAAATATACCACGACGACGAGGAAAATTACGCCGGAGTCCATTAGTTGCATCCGTTCGAAAAGACGTCTTGCCAGAATCTACTAGTGATGAATAGTAAAATAGTAACTCAAAGTTGATGGGTGAACAGTTACTATTGGCGTTACTGTTGCTGAGTCCCGTTCAAATAAGCCCAGCACTTATTCACGCATAGTACTATTCACATATTACAGTTACTATTCACGCATTTACAGGTTACTTGTTTACGTACTACTCGTTACTATTCAATTTATACGGTCCACTATTCAACGGTATTACCTACTATTCACGTATATGGTTTTTTGCTTGAGTGATAATATTCTGCACAAGTTAAAAATGACGACAGAACAACAGGCACCAATGGTGTAGGGGACTCAACTCATTCAAACTTGACAGTATGGAAGATATTTAATGGAAATCTTCTATGCTGTAAAGATCTTGTTTTGAAACGATTGAGTGAAGGGGTCAGGCCAGCTTTAATAAATTGAAAGCGATTTGGAATGTCAATTAACAAAAAAAAGCAGTCGCAACTATTATGGCATGTCTGTTGGTGAAATTGAGCGTCATAAATCATATCGCTCATGAAAAGATGGCCTATTCAATTTTGGAAGAAGTTGCAGAGACATGTACGAGCGGAAGGAATGCCCAGAAAACAAAGCACTTTTAATAAAAAAGCTTGTAAATCTAAAGTTACAAAGATGTGACGAAAGTGCATTCAGAATCACTTGGGGCCAAATTTCAAGAAATTATGTGAACCAACTGACGACGTCCAAAGATATGTTTACGACCAGTGACAGGCACTATTCTTATTGAGTCCTTGCCAGAGGAGTTGGGAAGACACTGACTGTTACGGCTCAGTAATGTGTCGGAGGGGAATCTGACCTTAACCAACAGTCAAGGAAAGCATTCTGAATGAAGAAAACCAGACGTTAAGGAGAATTGCTTACGAGTAAAGCAACTGCAGATTGCACTCGTACAGTTACAGAAAGGAGGGGAGAAGCAGAACAAGATACCCCCAAAATCAGGAACAAACGTTTGATAAATTCACGGAGAAGATCCAAGTCAAGAAAAAGTGTCACTTGCTATCATTGTGGCAAGCCCCTCGGTCACATTCCCCAAAGCATTGTAGAAAGGTGGAAGAAGGAACGAGCCAAAAGGAAAGTGATGAAGAAAAGACCGATACGGGAGGTTATCTCAGTTAGCTTATGATGCTGACGCACTTGGTGATGTCTCACGTGCCATCACATAACCTATCCTAGTGCGCTGATTTCTCATTCGCTCGGTTCTTAGTGAGTTTCCACTATGTCAACAAATCTTTATGGGATTACTTGACTTCTGCATTGTTCTTATCATATTTTCTTTCAAATAAGGAATATTTCTATTCACTTACCCTCGGAGATTACGGCCTGTCAAAAGACTTTGAAATGGCCACATAATGTGGGAAAAACTACCGGCATTGGAACAGTATTGCATCAAAACCATGCTGGTTATGATTCTCTGTTGAAGATGTTGAGGATACACTCCTACGGCAAACTTCAATCATTGATCTCAGTTCATTGTCTTGATGAATTGCTATGCAAAATCTGTTTGTTAACAAGGGAACGTCGGAAGCTTTCCAAAGGTACACTTTGGTTTCGGTCGCAGGAAGAAAAGTTCAAACCACCCTCTTACTTACACCCAGGGCTAAAGATTTGCACAGGGAGTAGTGAATGCAGGTGAGGATTCATCTGCCTGAGTATATGGCATAAACGACTTGGCATCTTGAGTTTTAGAAAGAGGGACCATGGAGACTCTTCACCAAGAAGAAAATGCTGTGTCTTGGGAAAGGGTTTGGCCTTTTTAAAAATGTGCACTTGATTGTTTGTCTGGTTAAACAACATAGAGTTTTCCTTTCAAAGATCTCCTTCTCCATTCTAGAAAAACCTGGTATTCTAGAATTCGTACACACTGATGTTTGCTCAAGGGGTGACAAACTTTTGAGTGGCTGCTTATATTATGTTAGCTATATTGTATGGACCATTCTAGAAAGGGTGTGCTTTCCCAATAAAGTCAAAAAAACCAGGTGCTGGATACCAGGTGCTGGATATGTTTAAAATCTTTCATGTCAGTGTTGAAAGACAAACGGGAAGAAAGTTAAAATGTGTTAGAGCTGATAATGGTGGTGAGTAAAGAGGACCGTTTGAAAAGTATTGCTCAGAACACGGCATCAGACTTCAGAAGACAGTTCCCAAAACTCTACAGCAGAATGGAGTTGCAGAGAGAATGAACAGAACCATTGTTGAAAGGGTTCGATGCATGCTCTCTCATGCAAAACTTCCTAAAACCTTTTGGGCTGAAGCAATGAATACTGTAGTTTACTTGATCAACCTTTCACCTTCAACCTCCCTCAACGGAGATGTACCAGAAAAGGTGTGGTCAGGGAAAAAATATTTTCTTACCGCATCATCTTAGGGAATATTTGCTGCAGGGACTTTTTGTTCATATTCCTAAAGATGAAAACATTCCAAGCTTGATTTCGAAGTCAAACAGTTGTATTTTCTTCTTGGGTTATGGAAATGATGATTTTTGGGTAAAACAAGGATTTATTTGGGATCGCAGTTTTGAAAGAAGCTCATCAGAAGCAGAGATGTCGTAATTCGCTTGGAAGAAACCAACAACCATTGAATGACTTTGAGAAAAATGAAAAGCCAAAGTCTATCAATGAGTTTCCTGTTAGTCTTTGATGCCAGAACCTCGCTGTAGAACCACAAAATTGATTTGACGTACGATTGATGATGAACCTTGTTCAGAATGATGCTGAAACCAGCTTCCAATAGAAGAACTGCCTCAATTGAGAAGATCTGTGAGAGGCAGGATACCTTTCCCAAGATATTTCTCCTAATGAAGTATGGACTTGTTGGACTCAAGGGGGGAGAACCAGAGAACTACCAGGAGCGCAATGGCAGATCTGTAAAAAGGAATGCATGTGGTTTGAAAGCCATGCAAGATGAGATTGGAGTCCTTGCATAAAAATTTCATACTTTATGAGTTGGTTAAAACTGGGCCTCCAAGGTTAAGAAAGGCACTGAAGAACAAATGGCTATGTGTTCAGTTGAAGACTGAACAGAACAACTCACAGCCAGGTACAAGGCAAGAACTGGTTTGTGAAACGGGAATTCGGTCAGAAGAAAGGAGTTGACTTTTGAAGAAATTTTTCTCACCCGTTGTTTCAAGATGTCTTCTATCAGAGTTGTGCTCGGGATTAGCAGCTAGCTTGAATTTGGAGAATCGAGCAACTTGATGTAAAAAGACAGCTTTCCCTCCATTGGTGATCTTAGAGGAGGAAAATTTATATGGAGGCAACCAGAAGGGTTTCAGAGTCAAAGGGCAAAGAACCCACTTGGATGTGTAAAATTGCAGAAGAGCTTTGTAGGCCTCAAACAACCGCTCCCAGACAGTGGTAGCAAAAAGTTTACTCTTTTTGGTAAATCACGGGTATGAGAAAACTACTTCTGATCATTGTTGTATTTTGTTGAAAAGTATCGCAAGAGGGGGACTTTATTATTTCTTCTTGTTATATGTGGATGATATGCTTATTGTGGGCCCAAGATTGCTTATTGTGGGCCAAGATGCTAAGAAAATTGAGAGCTTGAAAAAGGAGCTTGGAAAATCCTTTGCCATGAAGGATTTGGGATCGGCAAAACAGATACTTGGAATGAAGATCTCCAGAGACAGAAAAAAGAGAAAGTTGTGGCTATCTCAAGAGAAGTACATCGAGAAAGTTCTCAGCAGATTCAATATGAGCAATGCGAAACCAGTTTCTACTCCACTTGCAGGACATTTCAAATTAAGTCTCAATCAATGCCCTTCAAGTGAGAAAGAAAAAGAAGAACTGAAGAAGATTCCTTATGCATCCGCCGTTGGCAGCTTGATGTACGCCATGGTCGCCATCGGTATGCACAAGACCGGATATTGCTCCATTGCTGTTTTGGTGTTGGTTAGCCGATTTTCTTTCAAACTCCAGGTAAAGAATTTACTGGAATGCCAGTGAAGTGGATTTCTCAGGGTAATATCTTAAGGGGCACTTTCCAAAATCTGCTTATGTTTTGGTGATAATAGACCTGTGTTAGATGGGGTTTACACAGATGCAGATATGGGTGGTGAGCTCTGTGATTCACGCCAAATCAACTTCCTGGATATCTTGATGAACCTTGCAGGAGCTAGCAGTTTCTTGGCATTCAAAATTACAAAAATGTGTTGCACTCTTCCAATCCACTAAGGCGGGGAATATTATCGCCATTACAGAAGCTAGCAAAGAACTTCTTGTGGATCGAAGGGAAATTCCTACAAGAATTGGGTTGTAGAACAAGAGAAGTTCATTCTGCTATGTGATTAGTCAAAGCCGCGATACATCTCTAGACAAGAATTCGAACTTTTCATTCAAAGGTCAACAGCACATTGATGTGAGGTATCATTGGATACGTGATGCGCTGTAGATGAAGTTATTTTCAGATTTGAAAAGATTCACAACTGATTGATAATTAGGCGCTGATATGATGACTAAAGCTTTACCTACGGAGAAAACTTGTCACTTGCAGAAAGATAGCCGGTATGGCTAACGTCCACCACTTGAGTGTGCAGGGGAGATTTGTTGTGGCGTGCCCACTCAGTGGGGACCCACACTTTGTTAAAAATAAAATAGGGTAGGTGAATCAACCCACGTTGAAATTAAAAAAAAAAAAAAAAACAAAAAGAGAAGTTTCTTGGTTAGGTGACTCCGTCGGTAAGGTGGACGCCGTTAATCACGCACTTCCACCTCTCCTCTAATTCAAGCTTCCACATCTCCTTAAAATAGGAAGATTGGTTGCTAGAGCTTTCAATGCACCCAAATAACGTAGGAGTACACAGAAGTAAGATTGATGAGGAGTTCTTAAGTTTTAGAAAGGCGTTCTAAAACTTTGGGTCGAGAAATTAGTGAGGATAATTTGGGAAAACACATTGTGATGCCCTCGACTGCTTACAACTAAGGTTCGATAAACACCAAGCTTGATAGTGAATATTGGGCCGTACTTATCAGCCAAGTTTCCTAGGGTTATGTGAGCTGGCTGTGAGCCTGCAAGAAGATGAAGGTGGCCAATAATAGGCCACGCACCCGCAGCTTCTGGCGGTAGTCTCTTCTTACAAGACTTTCTTGATCTCCAAAACAAAGAGTAGATTATAGGAGTTATGAACGCAAGTAGGATGACCATAGCAGTCGCTGAGAACGGAGAAAGGACGTCCATGGCAGCTAAAGTTGAGTGGTGGATTTTCGTGGTTAACTGGTTATTAAACCTAATTTTTCTATTCTACCATTATTTTGTGAATATTTATGCACAAATACCATTACTAGTAATCATATTAACAATAGCAGGCTAAAAATTTTTAAAATGATCTCAACAAAATTTTTAAACCTGATATTAAACATTTTAACAGAAATAAAGTGGTTTGATTAGATAATTGCAGGAAATTGATTGGGTGGAAAATAAAGTGGTTCGGGAAAATTTGGGAGGAAATTATAATTAATTGAACCGGAGATGACTTTGTTGTCAGCTATTATTTGTTTTGTCCAATTCGGACATAAAAAATTGATAACCATCGTTCATATATTATAAAAAATATGTATTATTTAATGAATTTTTGGTTTGAGCAAGTGAAGTCATCCATAGCATCACGTTTCACATAAATAAAAAAATCCCAAGACATTAAAAGCAACAATTGTTGTTTTGCAGATGAGATGGATATGATCAATGCGTGACGCCTTCAACCATTCTACATACAGTATGCCTACTCAAACAACAACTGCGAAGAGAATCAAATGGTAATTATTTTAACTCAATGGCAAAAAAATGTCAAATTATTCATCATGATTTAATATTTTTTAGGTGATATTCTAAACTAATACATTCTTAAAACCAGTTGGGTAAAAATTTAATTATGATGTTTATAAAAATTGAAGCTATTTATATATATATATCAAATAGATTCAGTAGAATAAAAATATAATTATAATTTCAAATTAGATACAGTTTTTAATTTGGAAAGAAAAACATGTTATTTTGAAGACAGGAATTAATTAATAAGTGAAATACAGTCTTTGTATTTTAGAATTGTACTAAAATGATACACCAAAACCTAGTTCTTGAAGCATGGGGCTTTTTTAATGTTTCACAAAATCAGGTCAAAATGATCTGGAGATTTGAAATCTCACAGATGCAAAGCGACATATATCATCATCGAGTTCAATGGTTCGTGTGCCACGTTTATTTAGTTAAATTCTATGCTCATTTTAAAGATTTTCTGATTAAAAAAATATATAAAGAAAAAACATTCCATGTCCATATTCAAGAACTACTCTCTTTTTAAATAGATTAAACTCATGAATCACAACGAAGACATAAGATTAACTGACGAAATTTAAATTGAAACAAATGAAATTTTATAAAATTTTAATCAACTTTATTTATAAGCTAATAATTGACAGATAAGTATTGCAATTTTTACTCAATAGAAAGAAATTTAGATAACTGTAATTGACATTTTACTGCCTCCATTAAATGAAATTTCTGACTTCTCTTTTAATCTTTTCAAGCTTGTAAACATCTTAGTCTGGGTCGGGTTGAATCAAATGGAGCTGTTTAGTTTTTGAGCCTTCTTAAAACAATGGACCTTAATGGGTTTTTTTCATGGCTTTTACATGTCCGCCAGCATCGAACCGACGCAGAAACGGCACCGTATCAGCTGCGATAAATCTGCCCAGCAACTTAAAAAACTCCCTCAATGCTTCTTTCCATCTTTATAATAATTTGCATACTAAAAATAATCTAGACGTCATCGATAAATTTATTGTTTTGAAAAAAAAAAAAAAAAGCCGGCCAGATGATGTAAAAAATAACAATCAATTTTTTTGGGTTGAATGAGATTGGTTTGGTCGAACCCGGTGACGTTTGTCTTATGAACAGCCTATTAAATACAACGAATCGTTGACGTTGTCTTAATGAAAGCCATTAAATACGGTTTGGTCGAACCCGGTGACGTTTGTCTTATGAACAGCCTATTAAATACAACGAATCGTTATCGGTTCTACAAATAAATGATTTTGATGATCTCATTCGTGATGTAATTTTCATTTAATTCAAAATGGGTTTGCAATGGGCTTCAATAGATCCATATAAACGGTCAACTGGTTTAAGGACCAGAATTTTCTGCTTCCATCAGCAACTATATCCATCTGCCTGACACTTGCAGATCCATCTGCAGACACGTGGCATACAAATAAGGTATGGGGCTTCCTACGTTGACAAAGAGGAAATAATTTAGGGGCAAAAAAAATAAAAACCAAAAGCTGATGTAAGCAAATTATTCCTCGGATATTTTTATTTTTTTCCATTTTATGCATTATTTTAACAGGATAAGTATAACACTTCCTACTAAATTGGAAGCACAAAATTACATGGAAAGCATTGCTGCTCTAAGTCAAACGCAGACGACACGTATCTAAATTACTTGTAAATACAATGAAAAATGAAGTTTAAATACTTAAAAATAAACAATTAATTAAAAATTATAGAAAGGAAGATATTCATATTTATTAAAATTAATCAAATTTAACAACAACAAATTACAGTTAATTAAACAAGATATTCATGTACACAGAGATACAATTTATTAATATAAAGAAACAAGAAAAGAAGCTTCTTCTGTTTTAGTAAAGGTGCGCAGGAAGACGAGGCGTAAGAAGAACATCAAGAGGAGTGGCTTTGAGGTTGGTTATACCATGGCCCTCAGTCATATCAACTGGTTTCCCTAATGGAGTTTCAATATCAAACGCATGGAGCAGAGTAGCGAGTGACAGGTTCAAAACTTGAAGAGCAAAAGAAGCTCCGGGGCAAATTCTTCTTCCAGTGCTAAATGGGATTAGCTCATAATTTTGACCCTTCACATCAATATCCTTATGGTTCGTAAGAAACCTCTCTGGTTGAAACTCTGAAGGGTTTTCCCATACACGTGGATCTCTTTGAATTTTCGAAATATGAACAAAAAGTCGTGTGCCTGCTGGAATACGGTAGCCGCCGACAACACAATCTTCAATACATTCCCGTGGCACTGATAATGGCGCTGCAGGATATAACCTTAATGATTCCTTAATGATAGCCTGAAGATATGTTAGATGCTTTATGTCCGAATCCTTCACTTGCCTTTCTTTACCAACTTGCATGTCTAATTCATCTTTGGCTTTCTTTAGGACCTCCGGATTATTTAGTAATAAAGACAGACTTTAGGACCTCCGGATTATTTAGTAATAAAGACAGAATCCAAGTCAAGGTAGTTTTAGTAGTATCGGAGGCTGCCAAAATTAGGCCTGACACAAGTCAAGAAAACAAGATAGTCAGAACAAAAATAATAGTTTTATACATAATTGAATTTGGTATTATTCATATTTTTTTCAATGGGTTTTATGAAAAAATCAATTTAGAATTTATTTTCAAGAATGTTATTTACCAGGCAAGTAGCTTTGTTGACGGTATCAGCATCTCGATTGGAAATCTGTTTAGAGTCATCAAGAAGGGACAGCATTACATCCATGAAGTCTTCCTCTGAGTTAGCCATACCAGAAGCTCTCTTCTTCTTGTGTTCTTCTAACCATCCTGTCATTACATTGTCTAACACCTTAGTTGTCTTCTGCATCTCCTTTTCAACTCCACCAATATCAAGCCATCTCAGATATGGAAGTGCATCAGACACTGCAAATTTGCCAGATAATTCGAAAAAATCCCTCAAAGCATATCGCCAGTGGCCACTCTCATTAATATCTTCGTCCTTTTTTATATACTCCACATATCTTTTCCCTACAACCATCTTTAATATTCCATTTAAAGATACGTCCCAAAACCATTTTATCATTTCCACCTCAAGTTTATTGTTGCTATTTTTTGTTGCTACTTTTTTGTTCTTTAACCCAACCTGATATAGCCCTTCTGTGGCTCCTCACTCATTTCTCTCACGGTGTTCTCAAAGCAAACTCAAGCCGGCACGAACGCGAGGAGAAGCTCAAGGCAGTGGCATTTTTTGCGCATTTCGCCGCCAGTACACTCCACCGTAAGGGCTTGCACCAAACATGGCATAATCGCTAACTCATAACATCCAAGAAAAGAGCTTTAGGACCGGTAAGCAAATGCTTTGTCATTTTGGTAGTTAAAGCATTCTTTTGGACCATCTCCCAACTATTACGATCACACAGCTCGATGCACACCTAGCTTTGACTTGAATATATTGGCTCCAATCTTTTTCAGCCACTTTTCTAGCGTTATGTGTGGGTGGTTGCGCACCCACCTTAGCAGGTGGAGGTGGGCCAATAACTGGTAATCTACCGTGGGTTCTGGCGGCAGTGGTAGTCTAATCTTATTATTCACGTGCTCCTCTTCTTGCATTCGTTAATTAAAGATAGATTAAAGGAACAAAATGGCACAGTGCCATTGAAAACAGTACTCCTTGAGAACAGAGAAAGACATTCCATGGCTGTTTTCTTAGGGTATATAACTGTATATTAATATTGAACACGAAACGTAAATACATCAAAGAAAGGATAAGTAAAAGCTGCTTTTAGCGAAAGGAGAGGATGATGTTTGTGAGTTTTAACCACTACGTAGAAGGTGGGTATTTATAGTAAGCTAGTTAAAGTCCGGAAAGGAGCGGCAACACTTAGAATTTGGAAAATAGACCAATTCATTTCATCATTTGAAAAAACCGGAAATAACGCTGTACCAAACTTGAATAAAGATTAGCGCGTTAGGTTTCAGGGATGGAAGATAGGGCGGTTTCGCTTTAATTTGTTTGTGTTTATTTGATATTTTTTTTTAAACTATACAATTCTTTTGGTAAACTTTTTAGTATAGCAATTTTAATTACTATTAAATATACTAATTATTATTTTATATATATCATGATTTTATATAATCCTTTTAATCTTTTGGTGGTATGTCTTACTCACTTAAAATATTAATTTAAATTTATATATACCAATCACACTCATATCACTATCGTATATTATATATAAAAGTGAGAAATATATAATATATAAAAGTGAGAATAGTATAAGAATAACGGAATTTCCTATCTTCTTAATGAAATTTAATAGATATATCTATCTATATTATATATAAAAGTGAGAATAGTATAAGAATAACGGAATTTCCTATCTTCTTAATGAAATTTAAAATATTGTAAAGTACCCTTCATAACGGCCAATTAAAAAATTACAGTTTATTAATTAGTTGATTAGATATAATTTATAAAAATTATTTTTTTAGCCAATTATGTGCGGCCTGATTATCTTTCTACTTATACAAGGAGTAAGGGGTCTCGAGTTCGAATCCTCTCAACCATAAGTGTTTTCACCAATTTGATTATTGTGTAGCTCACAGTGTTATTTCGGCTTATCAAGTCTCCTGATGAATAAAAAAATTATTTTGCAAATAAATACATATAAATAATCAAGCATTTCAAAATTTTAAGTTTTATTTTTATTAAATTTATTTTTTAATGAACATATATGATAATGAGATATTTAAAAAAATTTATATTTTATTTATTAAATAAATATTTAATTCTTTTAGAAAATATATATATAAAAAGAAAATATTTCTTTTCTTTATGTTTGTATGATATGATTGAAAAATTTTTTTAAAAAATAAAATTTCAAATAGAATATATATGATATTTTATTTAGGAGAGAGATAAAAAAAAGAAATTTTTTTTTTGTTACATGAGTTACTAATTTGATTGTTGTGTAACCTGTAGTATTATTTCCGCCATCAGGCCTTCTAATGAATCGAAAAAATAAATTTTTGAATAAATACATATATCTAATTAAGCATTTCAAACTTTTAATTTTTATATTTACTAAATTTATTTAATTTATTTTTAACTGGCAATACATAAGATAACGAGACATTTCGAAAATTATTTATAATTTCATTTATTACAATATTTAATTTTTTAAGAATAAATAACAAAAAAAATATTTTTTTTATAATATTCTTTTTTTCTTATTATTGCTATGAACATATGATTGGATATATTTTTAAAAAATAAAATTTTCAAATAAGAATATATATAGATTATATATAATATTTTATTTAGAAAAGGGATAAAAAAGAAAAAATGATATTATTTTTATTAATATTTTTGCTCTTTTTATTTGTCATATTTGATTGGATATATTTTTTAAAAAATAAATTTTCAAATAGAATTTACATAATTAAACATAGGACCGTAAATAATTGAAATTTTAATTAAAAAAACATATAAAATATTTTGTTGATATATTTATATATCCATATACATTGAAATGTTTTATTTTATTAGGTGAGTTTTGAAAAAGTTTTATTCTTAATAATATTTTTTTAATTTTTTTTTGTTACTGAATAACTTGTGTTACTGAATAACTTGTAACTACTATCATTTTAATGTAGTAAAATATTTATATCTCCCTTGCAATAAACAGATGATCTATTGATGGTTAAGTATTTTTAATTTTTTTGATATTTTTTCTCAATTTTCTTAATATTTTTTTCTCTTATATCCTAAATCTGTTTGACTTAAAAGAAAACAATATTTAGGAAACTGAAAAAAAAAAAAACTAGAACTATATATTTCTATTTTTGTCACTTTTTGGGTTTAAAGAATTTGTATATATGTGTATATACTCTTTTCTCTGATACGCTAGGTAAATAATATTGTCACTGTAGTGAAAGTGGTTTCCATTATCAATTCAGATCATTTTCTCATTATTTTCTTTGACCTAACAGTAAAAATAATTTATTATTATTATTCATTATAGTTGTATATAGATATTGATTTGGAATAATTTATTATTATTTTTCATTATAATTATATATAGATATTAATTTGAAATTGAGGGCAGGGGTTGGAGATTGAGTGATGATTGATTTTTTTTTTTTTGACACCTATTAGAATTTCAAGAATCTGCATTTATAAATTATGAACTGAATGATTAGGTTGAGAGATGGTTTGAAGTTTTTTTTTTTTTTCTGAAAGGTAATTATTTTTTTCAATAATTACCACAATATAAATTTATCTAATATTTTATTATTTTATAATTTAATTATCCTTTAATTTTTTTTTAAAAAAAAAGCTTAATTTCCTCCTTAGTGCTATGTATATAATTGTGCATCATCTCCTCAATTTATCATATAAATTTTTATTTTCTTTTATACGGTTATGTATTTTTAGATAGCGATAAAATTAATACTTTAGGCAAAAGCCACCTATGATTAAAAGTATAAAGTCTAAAGTCATTTTAATTAGTAAAAGTATAAAGTCTAAGTCAATTTCATTTTGAAAAAAAAAAAAAATTTCTAAGTCGCATCTCCATTAAAGAAAAAAAAGGAGTCAAGCCTTATCGTTTTGAAAAGAGGTCGAGCTTCCAATTCCAATGTAATTATAATTAAATTTCAATATCAGCTAACGTAAGAATTCTCTTTGGTTGAACGCTCAATAATATTTTTCAATCATGTAGTTGGCAGGGTTGTGCACTGTGCACAGGTCTAGAAGAATTTTAGTCTCATTTAAAATATTAAAAATGTGCTAAAAAATTATATTGCAGCCGAACAAAATTCATAAATAGAAATTTGAGTTAAAAAAAGGGTAATTCAATATTACACTCATAATTATGAGGTGTGTTTGTTTTTATTAGCTAATCAATACGAGCATTAAAGATAATAAGATAAATAATTTGAAGTACTTAGTATAATTTAACTTTACAGATATCTTATAAATTTCAACTCATTATTATTTGCAATTAGATTAATTACAGTAAATATTTATTTTTGTATAGATTAATCATTTTCAGTTTTTATTAAAAAAATATATATATTCATAAAAATTTTAACTAATAGAGGGAAATTCTTATTTTAAAAAATTATTTAATTAATTGATCCATTTTATATTAAAAACTATATAAAATATTTATTTTTGTATAGATTAATCATTTTCAGTTTTTATTAAAAAAATATATATATTCATAAAAATTTTAACTAATAGAGGGAAATTCTTATTTTAAAAAATTATTTAATTAATTGATCCATTTTATATTTATATGAGGTATATCATTTTTTTCATATTATTATTATCCTACCAAGTGATTGTATAGTAAAAGAAAATTAAAAATAAAAGGATGAAAGTGATTTTCCTATTACATTCTTCATAGCTCTTTTTCCTTTCACACGACACGTTTGACGTGAAATCTGTGTTCAGGCACACAGCTTTCTTTAAAATAACAGAGGAATTAAAAAATATATTTTAAAAAAAGCGAGAACTGAATTAACTCTGATAAAATATATATATGGAGACACAATATTATTTTTTTTCTTTTCTATGTTTAAGTGCCTTCTTCGCTTTTGCTTTTACTTATTAACCATTTCCACCCACTAAAAGCTTTTCATAATGAAGTTTACTTCAACAAATTTGTCTTTCCTTTTTCATTTTTTTTAAAACTTATTAAAGCCATATCCTGTAACTCCCCCATGATTTATGTTTCTAGTAATAAATAACAAAGTTTACTTTAAACACTCGAAAGTGCGTACTTTTTATCTCTTTGATGGGCTATCTTATCTGATGTGATTTAAAATTAATCAGATCAGTAGTAAATTTCAAACACCAAACAGTTAAAAAACAACAAAAAAGTAAAAAGCAAAGAACGCACTAAAAGGAAGAAGGGATAAAAAAGAGAAATAGGGTCAGGTTTGCATTAATTCGTTAAGTCTCTTCACAGACAAGATCAGATCCATTATGAAACGCGTTAACTTAACAATCGGTCAATGGCATTTAATGTAGAAACAAGGGGCTTCAGACGTGTATATTTTGAATAGATTTTGCTCAATGAGTCATAGTATTTATTACTCCCTCACTTCCCAGATAATTCTCACGTTTAACAAAATATTATGTTTTAAGTAGAAATAATTTTTTTTTCATATTTATCCTATACATATGATCAAATATGATTATTTTAATTCTTAAAAAATTCTATTTGAATATATTAAATTAAGAGTAATATAGTCAATCTATTTAATAATAAATTTAATAATTTTTTTAAGAAATGTGAAATTTCAAATGTGATAAGTATTCAAAACGATATATTTTTAAGACGAAACAATTATTTTAAAATGATTTATATTTTAAGATGGATGAAATAATAAACTAAATAAATTTGGTATTCACATAAAATTATTTATACCCTAAATATAGTTAAAATTAAAATATAAATATGTAAAATTATTCAATAATTTACTTAAGTTATTGTCAGAAAGTAATTTTTTTGAAATATAAAAAATAAAAAATATTTTAAAACCGACTTGATATTATCATAACTTAAATCATAAAATTGATTTCATATTTGATGCAATTTAAA